CTATCTACCTATCATTAACCTAGTGGATAGATCTTAAAGAGCTTAATTTGAAATGTAGGAGAGGAAAGACTCTATTAAGAACACTGTTGAATTGTTAACTTAAACATATGTGCTTTCAGTTCCAGGCAACCTTATTATTTACTTACGGGAGTATTGATTTTTATCAGTTGATTTTGTCTTATTATGGTGGTGGTGAAAATGACCAGAGTTCCTCTGAAATAATGAAAACGGCAGGCGGGGTATTTTTGATTTTTAATCTTCTATTTATTACTTCTTATTTATTTCCTGCTCTTTTCCTCTTAATGTAAAAGTTTTAATCTGGCCCTAGTTCTACAGTTGCAGTCTCCAGCGGTGCAAGATCATTTCACTGACCTTAGAATCAGTTCTTTTTTCCCCATTTCCTCTAAGTTAAGCATGGGAATGGGGGTAAGATATCTCTGGAAGGCAGAGTGTTTCTGCCCCAGCTCCTGCCTACCTGGCAGTCTGAAAATATGCAAATATGAGTACATAAATAGGTAAAATTCAGTTGGAAGATAACAGCGTGCTGTTCATGCTGGTCACATGACCATGGAAATGCTTTTGGACAACTCTGGATCCTTCTACTGAGAAATGGAGAGGCTATTTATGTCTTCCTAATGATGTTAGTATAGTCTCTTCCAGTTTAGCAGAAGTCAAAAGGTTCTTTTGGCTCCCTAAATCAGCCCTACTCTAGGTGACTAAAAGGAATATGTGCCCTGAAGAAGAAATTCCATAGCGACCAATGCATTTTCTTTACTGTAATCCAGAAAAGATGGCAGTGGAAAATTCATTGGCTTTCCTTTATTCCATAACGGACTCTGTACAATGCATAGAGTGATTATTTCAGGCTGTCTAGCAAGGTCAGGTTGATAACAAAAACAGCAATCCACATTCAAGAATAATGAACTAGTTGCATGAGGCGCGGAGGGTTGTATCTATTCTTGCCCTACTTCACCTCTCTGCAGCTTTTGATACCATTAACCAGTTTGCAGGTGGGTGCATTATGTTGTGTTGTTTTGCCACCTCCTTTGGGGTCAATTCCAATCAATGATGCCTGGGGAGAAGAGGGCTTACCCTTGGTTCCTACTTTGCAGTTTTCTACAGTGTTCTGGCTTGCAGCAGAATTTACAAGAATTAGGATATGACCAGGTTGAGTCCAAGGGAGAGGCCAAGCATGTAAACAGTTTGAAATCTCTTCGCACCCACAAAAGATCTAATTCCAGCCCTCCTGGGATTCCATTGATTCTTATCTACTGCCAATTTGCCTTGACTATTAGTAATTCAGAATTTTATATAGAGGTAGAATAGAATAAACTTCTACTTATTCTGGACCTAAACTTGACTCCAGATTTCTTGCGCCTGATGCAATATTTGTCATGAATTTGGAAGCTAGCATATATTTTCAATTGGTATAGCAGGTTTATTGAAGAATATCTAAACACATTGCATGTCTAAACAGATTTACATCTTCAGATTTTAAATTATCCATTGCATGGAATATATCTGCTTATGTATTATTACTAGACAAAAAGTTTTATATAATTCTTTTGTTCTTTCTTATTTATTATGCTTACGTGATCAGGAGGTTGAGGTATGTTTTCTTATATATATATATTCTTTTGTTTTTTCTTATTTATTATGCTTACGTAATCAGGAGGTTGAGGTATGTTTTCTTCATTATTTATATATATATAAATAATGAAGTTTTTTAATGTACCTACATTGTATTGAATTTTACATTCTGTTTGACTTTTTGGTGTCCTAAAATATTTAATTTGTTATCTCCCACCTGTTTGCATCTTTTATGAAATGATCAGGGCATATGTGAAATTAAACTGTTATTTAGTTAAATTTGCATTCTTGTTTTTGATAAAGATATATACTTACTATATATTTTTAAAAGACAAATTAATGTTTTCAATGCTTCCATAGAAATAAATGAGATTGCACGTAATTAATCATGCATCACTTATTATGTCAATCATGTTTAATACAGTAGCTCAACCCAACATTCAGTAACTCAGCAGCCAAGCTCAAGTGCCCTGAAAAATCTCATCTAATTAAGATCTGCTACATTTAATTCATACTTTTAGAAACTGTAGCATGTCTATATGCTTTGGATTACTTTAAATTGTGTGTGTGTGTGTGTGTGTGTGTGTGTGTGTGTGTGTGTGTTATTAAACTCTGCATTCTAGATGTAAAGTTCATGTTGCTAGATGATGCTAACTTTATTTCAGAGAGAGGTCAGAGTTTCTGTGAACCTTTGGGCATTGCATGGTTCAGAAAAATGCCAGAATCTAGCTTAGGTAAATTTTCAGGAAATTCAAACCAGTAGCTGGACATATAATGCCAAGTGATTTAATGAGCAATCTTGTTATCTTTACCAGCAGTCCTTTGACCTTTCTCAGTGACACTTGTTATGCATTAGTTATCTATGCTTATTTCTTTTTTTGCAAGGCAAGTTTCTCACATCCAGAAACATGCTTGTCTGAGATACATTTAAGTTAAGGATGTGTCATCAGCTATGATTTGATTGAAATAAGTAGTTAAGTAGTTGTGAGATTTTCATGGTTTCAATCTGAAGAAGTGTTCTGATTTAAAAAAAATCATAATTGGGTGTGGACTAATAATTCAAGGTATAGAATAAACCATTTTTATTATTATTACAATTTATTATTACATTGGTTCACAGCCCATCTAACTTCAAAAACAAATATACTTTGGAATTGTAAAAAAATCAATCAAATAATCAGATTCAATGTTTTGAATCAAACTTCCAATTTGATTTGCAAAGATGATTGAGTTCACAATTTAAGTAAACACCTTTACAACTGAATCTTTATAGAATTCTCCACTGTAATTTTGGATGCTGATTTAGCTATATTAATTTAGTCATATTTAGTATAGGAATATTCAGTTGAACAAGGTTCAATCAAGTTCCATTTCCATAGATTGGAGATTGGGATGGAAAGAAGGAATTCATTTGTAGCATTCATGTCTTCCTAATCTGAAACATTTGGACACAGCCCATCTGTGAATAAGCATTTCCTATCATAATAGTATTCAGATACATATATAATCAATTCACTGATCATACTGAGAACTGAGCTTATAAATGATGCTGTACTAAATCATTTTGGAGGAATATATAATACTGTATAATATAACAATAGTTAAATGCTATATATTTGATATGATTTTAACTGAGATACTTTATTGTATTTTCTATGTTTCCTATTACTATGATTTTATTCTCATCTATAATTTCTCTCATTGTCAGTACAAATAATATTTGTGTTTTGGAAAATAAATATTTCAATAATGGATATTCCTGTGCCAATTATTTCTGTGTTATGACATTCTTTTCAAATTTGTCATCAAGTGATACTTTTCTGAAATGATCTTTATGTTATAGTTATTATGCATGAGTGTTTCTTCAGAAACAAAAGTACAGTTCTTTGGCTGGTGATATATTCATTGTTTCTGTGTTTCTAAAGTGTATAAGCATCCATATGCTCCAAAACCATAAAAAAAGCTTTTTTATTCCTTTAAAATTCTCGGTTTAGATGATTTAAGAAATGGGTAGTTTACAGAATAAAAGATGTAACAAATATGTATACTTTTAATTCATGGAGGAGAAATTAAAACTTAGATATGTTCATGCAAGTAATTTATTATCTTGCATTGTAAAACTTTATGAGGACTAACCTTCTTAAGATCATTCTTTGATTTTGTCCTTTAATTAGAAAATGGCAAGATGAATTCAAGGCTCGGTAGCTTTACCGCTCAGTGTAAGTAAACTACTTGCATGAGCTGCATATTCTTCACTGTAATTGCCCCTACTCAATTAAAACTATTTCACACCTATCTATCATAGTAGATTCTGTATTTCTTCTCTAATATTTAAGTTGCCAAATACATTAGTTAATGCATACTATATTTCTTCATTCCTAGGGATGAAAATGTTTTCTGGGCAGTACTCAAGTTCTCCAGTTTTCTATATAGAACTTCCAACTTTAACTTCGACTTAAGACTGACTTAGAAAATTTTCCACAATAAATGTTTGTGTATATGCATATCTAGATCATATATCTAACACTCTACCCCTGAATAATGGCAAGGCAAAATCAAGAACAAAAATTTAAAAATAATGAAATTGATTAATACATTTAATTAAAATTCATTGCTAATAAAATAAGGTGAACTTTTTATAAAGTGAATTGACCTATATAAAACAAACATTCTTTCTCCCATAGACAGAAATGCATAGACAGAAATGCACTGTTATACAAGTACAGGCTTCCCATACAGTTTTTAAAGTAGACTCGACAAAAAACAGAAGGCCAGAAAATAACCAAGATGGATTCAAGGGAAAGGAAGGATTCGCCTGAAAAGCAGAAACAAGAATGAATAAAATCTTATTTAGGAATTACAAAAATTAAATTTAATGAAACAAACAGCAAGGTTAAAACCCTGTTCTTTCAAAATTAGCTCATGTTAACTAATTTTATATCCAATGTACCTATTGTAGTGTTGGCAGCCATTTTCTCCTTTTAATTGTCTTCTAGTCTTAAGAAATATAAGATGGCATACATCGATTCCTATTTCCTCAAATAATTATGGCAGAGAAAATCAAACATTATCACATCTGATAAATATAGTAATAACCAAGAATCATAAAAAGTTAATAATGCCCTTAATGGAAATGGCTAATGCTTATATTGGTTCAAATGAAACCAGATTCATCCCTTCATAGGATAGTACCATTGTTCATAACTCAATACATGACTTTAAATCATTTAAAGTTTGTAATGGAATAATGTAAAATAACTTCATTCAGGTGCTGCTCATTAGAAGGGTGATAAAATGTGGTATAGTTTTTTGCCAGGAAGATATGCTTGTATATATACACATTAGATCATGCATATGACTGAAAGAGTGCTTAAAATATAATTTAATTATGTCCATCTTTTTTCATTTAGGATGATTATTTCAGAAACTGGAATCCAAACAAGCCTTTTGATCAAGGTAAAAGAAATATTGGACTGAAATTGTTTCATGTTGTGTACATTAAGCTATTTTTTCCTATCTGAGAAATACTTAGCATATTAATTTTTTAATCTTTTAATTTAGATGTTTTAGACTTTTTCATATAACAAGAGTTACTCTTTTTCTGTTTTTAGATTTCATCGCCAACATGCATTTTAATATACTGTTTTGAAATATAACATAGAATTCATTATTCAGGACCTGGGAATGATCTTCCTGAAATAAATAAATAAATATGATTTGACTCTTTAACATTCAGCTCCAGTTTCTTTGAAGAAAGAACAAGCCTATATTAGGACTATTCTCTAAATTTAATGTGATAAAAATGTGCTGTATGGCTGCAGATGTCCAAATTTAGAACTGAAATAGTTTACTCTAGCACTATATAGATGTGATGGAATTAGGATTAATCTTGATTTCTCAGGCTAAATACCAACGGTCAATAATGGCAGCAATGAAAGGTAATATTGATAAATGTGTTTTTTTGTTTCACTGTGACTTTGAGAATCTCCCAGGATGGTACACCTCTCAGTGGACCTAAACAACAATGTGCTAGAATTGTTTGTCTCTTATACAGTAATATAAAACAGTGGGTTATATTATTGACAGTTATATTGACAGTCAAATGCTGAAAACACTAATGAGAAATACAACTTAGCTCTAGGAAATCTTTTGGCAAAAAGAAATAAAACAGAAAAAGGGTGCATAGGTTAACATGATAATACATATTCTATTGGCCTTAGTTATTGTTCACTACAGTTACAGCTTCAATTCAGAACTGGTAGTCCTTAAAACATAGGATCCATAATTATTACAGGAAAGCAGTTTCACAAGTCCTGCAATATTGCTCTGGCTAATATAGTGCTCACAGCTATAACTTTGTATGGTCTCTTTGGTAACAACTGATATTTCCATAGAAACTATAGAAGCTTGTTCAAAACATTTTGAACTCTTTTAAACTCTCTTTTGTTCTGCCAAATCTATTGCTAAAGGGTTTTTTTTTCCGTAAGTGAACATGCAGAGACTATTTCTCACAGTAATGTAAGTGCTGGTTATTAATTGCTTCAATCAAGGAACTGATTTGACAAATCTGATCCTGAAATCTTAAGGATGATGGGAGAAAAAAGAAATTGGATGCTGTACTTCTGTGAAAAGTTATGCAGTTCATCTAAATACATCTGTCTTCCCAGATGAAGTGATATATTCTTGGACAGAATGATCAGCAGAATTATTTCAAAATCATAGTAATTATAACCAGGCATGTTATCAGCTTTGTTTTAGTTATGTACATGATCCAACCTTGTTTTCGCCCCGTACGCCTAAAGAAATTTCACTCGAACCTTGCACCCCCTGAAATTTAGACTTTAGGAACTACTGAATGTTAAATATATGGTAGGATTGAATCTTTTCAACTATGTATGTGACGGCCACTAAATAATGATACTTAACTCTAAAATGAAAACAAAGTTAATCCATTGCATAATAAATAAAAATGCCAACATATAGCCAATATCCTATTATTTACCTGGACTTTTCTCACACACCCTGGAATATCGTCTCGCACCCCCAGGGGGTGCAAGCACCCCAGGTTGGGAACCCCTGTCCTACAGGTTTAATACTTTTTGCTTATTCTTTAAAAATTCGAGAGAGACTACATCAATTAGAAAACCTGCAAGTCCGATTTAAATTTATGGCACACGTCATACTGAAAGTTGTATTTTCTTCCACTGAAACATAAAAATGTAGAAAATTGGAAAAGAAAAACCCAGTGGTCCATCGAGTCTGGTCTTTTGAGTTTTTTGTTTGTTTCTTTTTGTTTTATCTTAATGTATTTATTACTTATGTTTGTTATTTAAAAAAAATGCTAGGTTTGAGAGCCAGGATGGTGGTGTAATTAATGCTCTGGGCTAGGATGAAGGAGACCTAGGTTGTAGCTTTCCATAGATACTGAAGCCAATGGAGAAGGTGGGACATAGTCATTCGTTCTCAGCCCGACTCAACATTGGGCTTTAGAACAAACTGACTGAAAATCAAAAATCCATTGTCATATTATGCTTTGATGAGCTTCAGTATAAGAACTTGGCAAGCCCATACACAAATAAGCGGACCCTATAACTAAGCAAGCCATACACTAACAAAAAGAGTAAGATAAAAATGCTAGGCTCCTGTGTTCTCTGAAAAATGTCTGTCTTTGATAGATCTAAACTCCTATTTCACACAGTCAGCAATATCAGATTCAGATTTTGTACTGGAATATAATTAAATATATCTCTGTTCATATTAGAAGCTCAAAACAATTTTTTTGTGTACAGTTTCAAGCCATCTTTTCAATACTTCACAACCATTCCCATCCCCACAATTTATATGCTGGCTATAATTTGTAATTTGGCAGAGGGGATTTGGTATTTTTAATACATAATAGTTAGGACGCAATATCATGTTCAGGTGCAGAGTTAGATATCATTGCAATTAACAATTTTCTGTTCAGTACTTAATCTCAAACTTTCATCCTGAAAGAATGTATTAACAATTGATTCAATTCTTTATGTAACTGTGATTTTTTTATTATTATTAAGGGGAACTATTGACTCTAATTTTGTGTTAGCTGCTTATTTTTATTACTTGCATTTGTGGGGTTGCTAATGTGCTATTTGCATTCTAATGATGCCAATTCTCTTTCTCTGTTTTTCATGTTAGAATTGCCTTAATTTCAAGATGCTAATCACTCTGCTGTTATAATCAGTCTGCATTCCGTGTGTGTGTGTTTGTGTGTGTAGGTCTTCAGAAGCCACTCAGCACATATATTGAATATGTACTGGTATATAAAAAGTGACTTGTTTAAAATTATTGATTAGACTGTACATAAAAGGAATCTCAGAGTTATCTGGGAAGTTATCATAAGATAATTGACTTAAGTCAGTATACTCATTTTGTAACTAGAAAAATGATGGGGTTATTGATACAGTGCAGCATGAAGTTATCTTTTTTTTTTTTCACTCTTACTGTTAGGAAAATAATTTCAGTATAAAGCTCTCAGCCTAACGGTGTATGTTAGGAATTTACATGGAATAAGGCTGCTCTAAAGAAGTAAATTACAGACTCGAGTAGATGCGAGTAGATAAATAGGAATTACATAGGTGGGAAGGTAGCAGTGATCCATGACATCATGCTGTCCATATGACTGCAGAAATGTCTTTGGACAGCACTAGCTCAATGGCCTTGAAATGGAGATGAGCACTGCCACTGTAGTTGGCAACAACTAGTAAAATCCATCTTTTTAAATCTCAGCTTTCATGTTAGGAGGTTTTGTCCTCTAGATGTGGATGTCAAACTTGATTGCATCACATGGCATCACATCATGTATTGCAACATTTTTTACCTTTGCGGAGCTGGGATAGACGTGGCCTGCAGGTGATGCATCCAACCCATGGGCAAGCAGTTTGACACTTCTGCCCTAGACCTAAGGCTTGGAATAAAAAACAAGGAGAGAGGTGAAAGAAAGAAGAATGAAAAGGCATTGTTCTTCCTCTCTTAGTTTTATAGATTTACAATCACATTTAGGAGGGAGAAGAAAGGAAAAAATATGGAAGTTGATGAACCAAAACATTGTATGGTATTTTGTTCCTGAACATGACATTTGTAGAATTGAACATGGCCTTGGTTTTAATTTTTGTACTTGTCTGAAGTAATTACCAATGGGTTTTTCTGCTGTGAATAAAGATACTTTTTAATAATTAGTAATAGGGAACATGGGAAAAGCAATCTCCCTATGCTCCTTGTTTTGTTATATTTCTTCATTAAATCTGAAGTTTTTACATTTTCTCTGTAAGAATATGAATATTTTGCATGACACTGGAAATATAAGGCACTCTGGATTTCTCTTGTATGAAAGGAAATTATGATGTAAAAAGACCAATTTAATCTGTTCTGTACAACCTCCAGCAGTACATCCCAAAAGGTTACATGCAGAATTTGGGATTGTCTGATGAACCTTGTCTTTTAATAAAGTAGATGAGATGTTATTAAAGTGCCATAATTCATGGAAAAGGAAAGACAGTCCTGTTGTTAAGATTAGCCCATGCCCTGCAGAAGTAAGCAGAGGTTAAAATTCATCTTTGTTAATTCAATATACTCACTGAATCCAAGTTGAACTTTTCATGTGAAAGATAATTATGTCAGGGAAATTAGTCTTAATTTCAGATAAATACAGTAAAGAAAATATGTTTATACTTACTACTTGTCACTTTGTTAATTTTCTTCCCTTAGTACAGATTTTAAGGAGGTATTAACTTCATTCTATTCCGGGGGGGGGGGGGGGGAATTTTCCCCCACCCTTGTGTTAATGGTTAATTTTTATTGTTTATTACAGATTTTTTGAGATCAGTTGTGCAAATTAAGAGGCTATACCAAATGGCTATTTTAAATGAAATAATAATACTAATAAAGTCAGTTTGGTCTACTACAGGAGATGGTGAGTTATACTTCTATCCTAGGCATTAAAACCAGCTGGGTGATTTTGGCCATTCCCCCTCTCAGCCAACTGACCTCACAGGGTTGTTGTTGTTGTGGGAAAAATAGGAGAATGTTAGGTATGTTTGCCTAATAGATAATAACTGTAGTATATACATACATAAAAATAATAGTCATCATATATACATATATGTGACAATGCATTTGAGTAAAATCATGAACAATAAGAAATTGAAAGGGCAGCCCATCAAAAGTCATCAGAATAAAGCCTACAAACAGCTGGACATTTTGTAGTTGGAGAATCCAAGTGTCGATAGTTTAAAAATGTGATTAATAAAGAATACATCAAAGGAGTGAGGAGTGCTAATGACAAAATTGAAAGGTAGAAGCACCATCAAAGGCAACAACATCTGGGCTGTACTTGTGATACTGCACAAAAAATTGCACACTTTGAACCAAAAAAACAAGTAAACTGTACTTGGTATTGATACCAAGTACAGTGGTATTGA